TACAGAGTTTTAAATCTAACAGTATTTTTTAAATATAGACATATTTCAAAAGTTTATTTTTGCAGTAAAGTAAACTTTATTAATAAGGAATATAGTCAAGAAAATCATATTTTAGAGCCTAATGTTTTGCCCCCAGTTATTTTAATTGTACCAAATAATATAAGTGCACTTATTTAGGAGACGCTGTTTGAAAAAAAAGGAAATAAAGTAAGGTCACAAACTGAATGAAAATAAATTGTTATCACCAGAAATTTCTAAATTAGTAAGAAAATAAATTAGTTTCTTATTGAACTTTACTCACATCCGAAAAATGAAATTGCTATTTATATAAAAAAATTACTGCTTATGCAGCTGTAGCCTTAGCCTTCTTAGTTTTTGTTTTGGTAAATCATTTAAAATGTTTCTGACGAAATAACGTGTACAGAGAAACATTTCCTCAAAAAAAACATCAGATATTGCGTATTGAGGTGTAACATTAATCAAAAACATCCAAAAGACCAAAAAATTGGTTTTATATGCTTTAAGTACGTTTCAGAGCGTACACTACGTCCATGGCAGTGACGGTTTTCTTCTTAGCATGCTCGGTGTAAGTGACTCCCTCCTGGATAACGTTCTCAAGGAGAATTTTGAGAACTCATCTGGTTTCTTCGTAGATGACACCAGAGAAAATCAATTTTTTACACTGCATACATGAAAGAAAATTAAAGATGTCTTTAATTTTATATTTGAAGTGTAAAAAATGAGTTCTCGAGTTTTGCAAGATTTTTTTTTTCTTTTTTGGTGAATGAGTTTAATGGGAAATTCTCCAAAAGAGTATTAATTGTTTTTTCTTATAAAATTGAAGAAACTACTGTTTACCCTTGTTTAATACAAATTTCATAAAAAAAGGAATAAGCTTGGCGTGACTCACTGTTGATAAAAAACGCATTATGTATAAATTATTGAAGAAAAAAATTAACACTATTGATAAAAAAAGCATAATCAGAATAGACCGAGATTGTATACGAGTAAGAAGGCAGTTGAGTTAAATATTTAAGAGTTCATTTTTTGCCAAATCTTACATGATTTTAGCAGAAAATAATATCAGAAATAGTGAAATGCATCGCGTTGTCAATCACGAAGATTACGCATTGTGATGCCTGTGCAGTTTTGTGATATCTTTTTTTTTTAAAAAATATTCAAAATAATTCATTTTCAGGATTTAAAGAATTTGAATATGACTTCTTTTAAATTATGTTTATTTAAAATCAAATTTTGTTATTAAATTAATGGTTTCTTAAGGTTTCAGACATATTTTATTTCAAACGAGATTTAATGCGTCCCGCTACTCCAATATCAAGTCAAAGGAGAAGTGTAAAGATTTCAACAAATATATACATATGCTAAAAAATATTTAAAAAAAACTTTTTTTTAAAAATTATTTTGTTTTTTGCACTCTATATACTTAGCACAGGTGTCACTAAAATCGATTATAATGCAAATATGATATTAGGTGGGTAAAAAATCTATGTAGATCACATTTAATGTATATTATTGTCTATTTTGGTTATAGGTATTGCCCTCTTTTGTTTTCTAAATATTATTAATAGCTGTATTTAAGGGGTTCATTTGGCGGACACTTTAATGAATTTTTTATATTTTTTGGTTCAAAAGAGAACTTTAAAATTAGTATCTAGTCAAAGGATATGTGTCAAGAATTTTAAGAACACATGCATTAACAGAAAAATATTTATAAAGCATTTTAAAATTACGTATTTGTTCTTGTTCTCTATTTGGTTAGCACACTTGTCGTTGAAATCAATGATGATAAAAATATGATATATTAGATCTACTATTGTCTACTAATATATACTATTTCCGTTATAGACATTGCTCTCGTTTGATTTCTGATTATTATTAATAGTGATTGAGAGGGAAAACTGTGATTGAGAGGGAAATTTGGCAGACGCTTTAATGATTTTTAATTATTTTCTAGTTTAAAATAAATAAAATATTTATAAGATATTTTGACCTTGTCTTCTCTATAGTTAGCTCAGGTGTCTTTAAAATCGATGATGGTGAAAGTATGAAATACAATTCGCGATCGCAACGAACTATAGGGGGCGTTGTTGTATGAGACGCTTACCTGCGATTTCCATATGAACAGTCATTCAGTTACTCTGGAGACGTCGTTAATGTAGCGTGTAGCATTGCAACGTTCCTTCTTTAATGTGGCTTATTAAATTTAAAAAAGAAAAATGCTTGATCTTCTTTCTTGTACAACCGAAAACAAAATGGTATCTCTTTTTATTAGAGAAGGAATATCCAAAACACATCGGAAAAATATTTGTACATTAACAGAAAAAAATATGTATATTCTTATAAGAGTTAAAACCTAATGCCCGAGAAATAGTATTACTAAATTTAATGATATAACATGAAAGGCCCATTTAAACTTT